TGAATATTTATAGTGTTCAACCTGCTCACTATATAGTGTCTATACACCATTAAGAAGACACTTTGCATGCTATCAAAAATACTTATGCATTACAGAGATTGCCAGTGGGGTTAAATAACCTATGAAAATAAGAGGGTTGCCTTTGAAGTGCAAAAAAAGTAATATTTTGATCTGTGGTAAGTTTTATGTGATATTCGCCCGCTTAACTTTCTATTTCATTCTTTCTTCAAATATCTTTCCTGCAAGGTCCAGTAGTCAAAACAGTGACTTCAACCTTTTCATCTTTCATCATGCAATTTTAATTTTCTTCTTTGACTTCTTATCCACTGTCAAGATGAGAGTTTCCTATATTCACTTTATACTTAAAATTCTCTGTGCTCTCGATTTTTTTGTCACTGGAGTCAGACATCAGCTTTGATTTGCTCCTAGTGCTCAGCAATAAGCTAAACACTTTTGGGAATGTATTGGAAGAACAAATACCACAGTATGTCCAATGCTTATTGCAGTGCAGATGTTTCCAATTGAAGTAAGACAAAGAATTAAAGCTCTGAGGTTTGATGACCAACATCCGAGCTCAATAAATAATCAACATAAGACATTGTTGCAATATTTAAAGCTTACCATTTTGTTTCTAGGGCAAAACAGACATCCCTAATCTGCTTTAGCATCGGTCTAAGAGCAGAAAACTTAGAGACTGAATTGTTCAAAATATAAAAAAGAGTAGAAACAATATCTTGCTTCTCAAATTTAGTTTTGGGCAACAGAGGTCCTTAAAACTGAACAGAAAGTGAAATGTTCCTTTGTGTATACATCCATAGATTAACACAATTTACTGTTAGTAGCAAATCTCTTAATTATAAAAGCATTTGGGTTAATACGTCTTATGTATGTTACTGTGTGTCTCACAAACAAGGGAACGTATGTTTTAAAAGGTCTTCCTTTCCTCCAAGGCTTAAAAACGTACTCTGTACAGGGATGTCACCGAAGACATTTGCAGCACTTCAGCAGAATGAGCTGAGAAGTGACAGAGGAAATGTACCAAATAAACCAAATCACCTAAAATTGACTAGAGACGGAAACTTAGAGTTACAGTCACACAGGCGTTTCCATTTGTGTTGATGAGCTGATCTGTGAGAAAAGAAATACTTCCTTTAGTGAAGTCTCCTCTCCAATATTTAATATCTTTCGAGGTCAAAAAAGTCTTGCTTCTAAGAGAAAGAGGAAAAGAAGAAGAAAGGGTGGAAAGGAAGGAATGGAAGTGAAGGATACTTAAGAGTGTAACATGAGCTTAGAGACAGAAAATTCAAATTTTAAACCAAATTTAACATCCAAATGCAACCCAAAAAAACCCAAATTAGAAGTTCATGCCTACATCGAGAACTAGTCTGGACTGGGAAGAGGCATACATTTTTTCTGAAACATTGCTGATGGCTCTTTTCTGGTTCCTGAGCATAGCCCAGAACACATCATGCTGTGACCCCCCTGATCTCCTGGATGACACAGTCACTTCTGGATTTTGGAATGTCAGAGGATACTGTTCGGGGACATTTTTATACCTTTACTAAAGAGAAAAGCTTTCAGCAGGGACTATCAGCATGAGACGGACTAATTAGTTAGTTGCTTCTCCTCTTAGATATGCCATCCAATGTGTCAGCTGTCCTAGCAGGAGCTGACATCAGGGCAAGATTAACATCTGAAAACCTGGGCAAAATCTATACATGATGCAGTTATCTGTAACTAAAACGTGGAGCAAAGTGCTTACCCTCACAAAAGCAGGAATAGCCATTAAAAGGGAATGTTCTTCTTTAAACAAAGAAACGTGCTTCTGAGCAAAGACATTTAAAGAAAAAAAAACCTGCTCATGATCCCCCTGCAACATCCTTTCTCCTCCAGCAGGCGTTCGCCAACCTGCCTCTCAGAGAGTAATACCACCAGTTTTATAATGGCTGCTCTGTTTTTCTTTAGCCAAATGCCAGTCCCCATTGTATTTGTTTTATGCTGGCTCCTTCAAGAGCATTCAATGCTCTGAAAAAGCAGTAGGTCCATAAAATGGATATTAATAGAGCACTTAGCACATACATGTTTGTCATTAGCAGCTTAAAGGTTAAGAACCTAAGTAAAACAAAAACTGGAATAATTCCAGCCTTGAAAAAGGAAGTATTTTAGCACTGAAGCCATGTCATGCACCAAGGGTGCTGTTCTATAATTTGTACCAAGAAATGGGGCTTCGAAACGAACATTAGTTAAATTAAAAAAAAAGGGAAAAAGTCAGGCATCATTATATTAATGAATAATTCAATCCCCACAAGTGCAGAAAGCAGAATGCTGAAGTTGCTGTGTCATCTGAGATCCTTGTAGCTCTCTTACAGGGCAATGCATCAAGCACAGACTACATTTCATCTGACTGCTCTCGTTCGATTCAGATAGTGTTATCAGTTTCTTTCTTTTGAAAAACATAATAATCTGATGCATTGTTTAGTTTATTGTCATGATCATACCAAAAATATAATTTTCCCTTTAAGGATACTTATATTGGAGAGGAAGATCCAAACATTTCACAGATTTTAACCTTAGTTATGGTAAGGAATGCTCCTAAAGCAGCTGGCAATACAGTTGTCAAGTGACACAAGATAACTCTTTTTACAAGGACGTCCTGCTGACTTCATAGGAAAAATTACCTCCCACTGATCTCAGCTGGGTACCAGGGTTGGAATAGGATGAGTGGGACAGGCATTAACTTCTTCTCCAGCTGTGATATGGCCATGATAACACACCTACGCACCCCCTCTTCCATGACTTTTTTTTTTTTCCTTTATCTCAGAGCTGCAAGCAACCCTCTTAAGCAAGATCTGGTCTTGTTCCAGTTGGAAAGCATTTCTATTTTTATATTCCTTCATTTGAAAAAAAAATAGTTCTCACAACAGACAAGCCTTCTTTCTTTAAAGATTTATGACAACATGGAATGTATTTTGTTTCTTCTCTTTTAATTTGCCTAGTTGCTAAAATGTTATTTTCCTCGTTAAAAAATATGACATTTGGAGACAAGTATATGCAGGAATAAACAGCATGTGGGATGTCAGCCTTGGATTCCACTGATAAAGAACTACTGGGATGAGGGAGCGCAACGCCGAGTCTTGCTCTGAGAGTTTTTGACTGAGGTTCCTCAGATTTGGATGCATTTCCCTTTACAGACTATTACTATGTCATCTCTAGAAATATTATTTGTTTCTTTAATTATTCTCTGTTACTTAATACACACACCACTCCCCATCCAGTTAGGTCTTTTCTCTCGTTAGACATAGGTTTTCCTAGTTTTATTTCTCAGTGATGAAATAATGATATTACATTTTCTAAATATTCATGCTGTTCTCTGGATTTGGGTGTCATAATAGTTTGAGAGGAGCTCTGGGTCATGATTTAATAATGGGAAGAAAATAGTTAAGTACTGTGTCTAAGGGAAAGGCATAACAGTAGTCAGTATCTGGAGCCAGTAGCAGCTGAACTCCGATTTGGAATGAGAACTGTTTTTACAAGTGTCATCACTGGAACGCAATGAGGGAAACAAGCCAAAATCTCTGTGCGTTCATGTCTCCAGAAGAATGTGTACCTTCTTAGGTGACTTAGGCTGGTCACAGACAAGTCCCTGGCTCCGTTGGTGGGACAATGTGGTAATGGCTCCTTGAAGCAGTACTGTCTCACCCTGTGATCCTCTCTTGCCTTGGATTCCACACTTGTTCTAATTCAATAGGAAACAGTGGAAGTATTCTTCATTGCACACAAACAGCTGTATGTTTACTGAGGATTTAGCATGATGTTTCCCTGAATCTGGTGGGGAGAATTCTGTGATTATCTAACTGTGAACTCTCGGTGGCATAATTTTCCTGAGCACTCAGGGAGTACTGTTGTTATGGTATTTACATGCATGGAGATGCGAAGAGCACTGCCAAAGCCTCCTGGTGCCAAAAGTGGTTAGAAAACAAATGACTAATTTCCAGAACTGTATAATTTGGAAATACCATAATGTGCCTTTCTGCATCTTTAAGCATATCTTTTAAAGCCTGATGCCAAGTGATTTCAGCACTTAATCCTGCTGTCAAAAGCACTTTGATCAGTTAGGAACTGTTGTGAGCCATGTGCAGCGACAGTAAAAAGGGGGCTATGAGGCAAAGTCTTCAACCCCACTGACGGCGCAGGACTAGTAATTTCAGCTTGCCATAATTCACTGGGCTGCCAGCAGCAGCAGCTCAGAAGATGCTCCAGTGGCAGCTGAGGTGACTCCACTGCTGGGAGAGACAGAGACAATGCTCTACTACATCAGGCACCCAGGCAGCAAGTTGCTCTTGCTCCTGAGCCCCATCCAGTTCCCACTGGGTCTCTTCTAAAAGACTTGGATGATCCTCAACAATAAGGTTAGACCCTTAGCACTTTCAGCTCCCTTTCCTTCTCTATTTTTCCTTAACTCATCTTCTATGAAAATATCAGTGACAGCCACTGCTAGTTTTCTCACAGATTTGGCTCATAGTTAGGCATATGGTCTGTTTATGTTTTGTATGTGTAAAACAAATAGCAAGCTCGGTGAAAGAAAGGACCTACAGTAGTTTCCTGACAGCATACAAGACAGTAGTATAGCAGCGAACCATTCAACTAATAATAGCAGTTAAGAAAAAAACAGAAAGATCCACTCACTCCTATGTGTTCTGCAAAATGAAAAGCTAATTCATAAGAACCAGTCTGTGGAATTGTGTCCTGTGTTCCTGAAATCTCTATATACTTTTAAGTATCATGCATAGTGAAACAACTCATCCTTTAAAGGCAAATATTCAATTTAAATCAAAGAACTCTTGGCTTTTTTTTTTCTTAAAGATAAGCAATAATTTATTTCTCTTTCATCTTCACAATTATCACATACTGCCCAGCTACATGACCAATGCCACTACATAACACAGGAGAATTGCCCACCTACACTTTACTAGGACAAATACAATTGCAATTTACACATTAAATGTACTGTACAATGTGTTGGCAAAATGTCATTCTTACCTATACGATGGGATGTGGTGTATGATTTATAAACAGATGAAATCTAAGATGTAAAACTTTAAAACTTTTTAAGCCAAGGATACAGTATAAAGCATTTTGTTTTGGTATTGTATTGTTACTAAAGTAGAAAAAACAAACTAGAGAAATAAATCCAGATCTTAACTTGCAGGATATGTATTAGGTTAAGAAATTAATTGGCTTTTTTTTTTTTTGGTTTGGTTTTCTTTTTTTTTTTTTTCTACAAATGAATAATATGAATATATTGCAGGATAAAGAAAGACTGCCAGATAAAGAAGGTACTGTTATATGAAAAGCAAATGAAAAATTACCAGGTAACTTTCCTTACAAAAAAGGTCAAACTATAAACAGTCACAAAATATATAAAAATGCCACATTGAACGAGGCAATCGTACTCTACCTAAACTGGTAGTATACTCTCTGAAAGAAGTTGCATTCATACAGTAGTAACTGATAAAAAGGCATTGTGCACTCTTGAGCCATCTGGAGATTTAGCACCGTGTGTCATCAGTTCTTGGATTGTCATCCAGTTGTCCAAGATTTTCTTGTTTCTCTTTTTCATCATCTTTTTGTGACTCAGTTCAATAATGTTAATTTCCTTTTTGCCCTCGCTGCCACTCTGCGGACTTTCCTTAAGACACTCCAGCCTGCTCCTCATCATAAACTCCCGACGCCTCCTCTGCTCCTTAGCTCTCACCAAATGCTGCTTCCGCTCTTCTTTGCTCCAGTAGCGACCCATCTTCATCTCACTCATTGTATCATCATCTGTTGTCATCCCACTGCGCTCCTCTTTAATTTTTAAGGCACGTTCCTTCAGGATTCTGTCTCGAACTGGTCTCTTTGTGATATACCTTGTCCCATCACTCCTTATTTTCACTTTCCACTCCATCTTGGGCTCCGCACACTTCTGCGAGTCTTTGCACATGCTCACCAGGCTGAGCTGGCTTTGGGCGTACTCCACAGCAGACTTCTGCTGGATCAGTTGCATATAGCTTTGATAATGCTTTGCATGAGCAGGTATATTCCCATACCTGTAAGAAGAGCTGTGATATGGAGACAGGTAAGGAATGTGCTCGCTGCTCTGCTTTTCCTGGTCTGTGAATTTGCCGCTTTCTGATGCCAGCACTGCATCCTCAGCAGCACTGTTTGGCTCAGTGAGTTTGGTTTTGGCTGAGGTTGGCTCCCTGTTGCTTTGTCCTGAGGTTGACTGATTAGCCACGATAGTGCTCCTCAGGTTTCTCCTGTTGGTGATGCTGATCATCCTCTGGAGAGAGCTATCGGGGGATCGCTCCACTGTCAGCGGAGTGCTCCTGCAACTTTCGGCTGTGTTGTAGGCGCTGGAACTGTCCTTGTCGGACTTCTCGGGATGCTCCATGATGTCATCCAGTTTGCCTCTTTGTACATCTACGCTGGTGTTATAATTCCTGAACCCTTCATCATGTAAAGTCCAAATGTCTCCATACTGATCCCTCACCTTTTGGAGCCGGTGAGCTTGCATAATATTCTGACATTCGAGTTCAATGTTCCTCAATTCCTCATTGAGTAGCTGCAGCTCATGCTCCACTCCATCTTGCTCTCTTCTGTTGCACTCTATTGTGCTGCTTGAGTAATACAGGTCATACTCCCCATGGTTTCGAATCTTGCACTTCAGTTCCAACAGCTGCCGAAACCTTTCACATTCCTCCTCTGGGTTTCTTATGAAATCAGACTCAATGTATTCCCCAGACACAAAACTTTCATTGCACTGGAGCTCAACACTTCCTAACGTATCTTGGCTGTGGCCCAGCTCCCGTTTGCTCTGCAGGGTAGTGCTGTTCTGCTCCTCGGGTGCGTTTTCTTGCTCTGAGCTCTCATCATTACGCAGACTCTCATCTGTAGGTCCCACTCCACTGTCCTTCTCATGATTGTTGGATGACGAGGTTGCAGTGTCTGTGGTGCCATCCTCCTCTTCATGTTTCTTTGACTAAAAAATGAGCAAACCAAAATGATTATCAAAAGCAGACCATATTACATGAGAATCATTTCCAGCTGTTTACTGAAACAGCTGGGATCTGATTTAAGCCAAATTAAAACAGATCACTAATCAGCAGTCCTACTGCTCACAGCTTTTAAATATTTCTGAGACTCATGCTGTGGTGGCCATACTGAGTGAAGTAGATGAATTACAGCACTAGTGACATATCTTCTGAAGTCTAGAAAGAAATATTTGCCTCTCTAGCTAAGCCACCTCTCTGCAGCGCTTAAAGATAATGATCACCAGATGGTGCACTGGTTTTGATTCTGGATTATGGCCAGGGACCAGTGGAGCTGAAATCTTCTCAAACTTAGGAAAAAGCTTCAGTACTGCTATCACTTCAAAAAAATAGAGCAAGCAGCCAATCAGACAATGATCAGTACAATCTAAGAGGGTGCAAAAAGACTACTTTCATCAGTGGGATTTTTTTTTCCTTAACCAGTGAACTCCCTGTTTCTCCATGGAGATGGGCAGGGTTGAAGCCTGCAGAGAGCTAGCTTGTTCCACTACACCCTCCACAGTCCTCTCTCACACTTCTTGTTTTCAGTAGTCTTTTTCTGAAAGACTGTTCATTTTGAATTCTAGGATTTTGCTGAAGCAGACCTCTTTCTGTTGCATCCCTGGAGACCATTTTTGTTCCCTAGTTAGAGTTTATGTTCCTTAGAAATAAACCCAGCCTTTTACCATTAAGTGTAGAACACAATGAGTGCTTGCCATGGGCATAATGTCAAGCTTTTAGGCTGCGTTTTTTAATTCACACTCCACTCACTGTACCTAACCTATTTATGTTCTCAACCTATTTATATTCGCAAAGAATGTGAGATGATACCTCTATGAAGAGATAGACGCTTTTCATTTTTCAAATTGGATAAGCAAAGAATTCCCCCCCTATTCCCCTTACAGAGCCATCACGTAGAGTGCAATTTATATGGCCTCTTCAACAAATATCCAAGTGTACATAGTACCAACCAAATGCCGTTTCTCTTTTAGGAAGTATGATTGCAGAATTATGTATAATGGTAATAATAATCAAGGGAGAAAAAAGGTATAGTGCACCTAGTGAAAGGAAACAAACTCAAAGAGGCCACTGTCATAATTCCCCTTTTCTCTGCTTTGACAGACTGTAAAATAGGATGAAAATGTGTCTCCTATCTCATTCTTTCTCTTCTCTTCATGTGTACCTTATGATCACATACCCTTCAACTGGTTTCCTTTCTTCAATTGTTAGGAAAAAATAATGGCCTAGTCTCAGAAAAAACAAAAATAACCTCCAGCCCCTAAATGAAATGTAATATTGGAATAAAATAAATAAGGAAAGAAACACAACACCAGGAGAATTCAGTGTCTGTGAAAGACCAGTTAAAAAATTCTGAAAAGATGTTTTAGCAATTTGTTGTCAGACAAGACTTGCAAAATTGTAGTATAATTTTTACACTCATCCTTTCACAGATATAATGTGTAGCTGATAACAAAATGCACAATGAATGTATAATTCTCATATATCTTTGATAGCCACACCAGTAATGTGCCAATTAGTATCTCTCATCCTCCCCATATGGGAAGAAACTCTCCCCTTGAATTTAAACATCATGGGACAGAGAATGTATTTGGTGTAATTCAAGGGATCATGCAAAAGTTCAATGTTTCTTGATGTTATAGGGTCAACATTTTCTGGAAACTCGGTTTTGAAACTGCAAGGGACAAAGGCAGACTTTCATGAAAATTCTGCATATTTAAAAAATTTAATGGTATGCATTTTCCTGTTCTGGGATCCTCTCAGATCTTTCTACTTATCTGCTTAAAAACCCAAGGGTTTATTGTTTTCACAAGAAGAAATATGCAGAGTAGTACCAATATAAATCTAAATAAGTATTGCAGAATTGTTCTATAATAATAATTTATATATAATTATAAT